TAGAGTCTACAATGTGTAAAAGTCGATGCATTACATCAGAATCGCAAAACCAGTAGTGGCATCACTCCTTTTGCTTTCCAACGATCTCTGAAGATTTCATCTCTTCTCCCAAGTTTACCTACAGCTCAAAATAACATAAATAGCTGTGGTAGGAGCGACTGAGATAAATGTAACTTTTTAAAATAAACCTTCTTTGTGTGCAAATTTAGCATGTTGTGCAAAGAAGAGCGCGACAAGTAGAAGCTGTTTGGAAATAATGAAGTGTGTGTTGGGGAAGTCTATTCTTTTGAAAGTCGTTTTCTTTGTGGTGACTCTGTATATGTGCTGCTGTGTTTTTTGCATTGCAGTGATTCTTTCCATTCATTTCGGGGGTTAAACAACAAGGGTATGATCTCAAGGAACACACAGATAACGGTGTACGTACATGGTTGACTTCTGTTGTTGTGGTATTTATATACATTTGACATGTTTACACACATTCAAACACAACTTAGACTAAAATGCAGCTATAGGACAAAAAGCTTTTGAAACAATGGACGCCAATAGTAATAGATAATAAATGCACCCTATACTTAAAAACATAAGTGGGTTCTGTGCTCTGCATGATCTCTCCACTTTTTCCACACAAGCAAGGACACACACAACCTTCGGAGTGTGTGTCGAGCCTCGCTCCCACACACACCCGTGCTCACGCTCATCCAGCAGAGGAGAGAGCTTTTCATTTCAGGATATTGAATTATACCCTCATTTTTTAAAGTTTGTGTCAAATCTCATCCAAAGTGGATAGCAGCCGATTGTCAATTAAATTATGCAAGCATTTCTATTAAGGCTGACTGCAACATGTGTGAGTCATCATTGGAACGAGATTTTAAAAAGGGAATCTTTTACCATGCCCCCCCCAAAACAAAGACCGGTCTGCATGCACATAGACATACACACAGTGACGACCAGTCTGTTGGTTCGTGACAGTTTAAGCTGCTGGACCGACTTTTACTTTACTCACTTTTTTTGCAAATTGTAGATACTTGATTGAGTCAACCGGGAGAAAGGTTTCTAATATTACTTCATTTTTGTTTGATTGAATTGACGTTGTTGCCGAAGTTTGTTCCCAAAACGTTGAAAAGTTCCTTGCGGGAGAGTTGAGGCTGCACTGCAGTGGGTGAAAGAAATGTAGGTGCTGCTTCGTGAGGTTGGCTGCGGCTGATGTAACGTTGGATGTGGGCACACAGTCATGCCCACTGACTGTGGGTAGTCATATGCACGCGCACACTAAGGTTAAACAATGATAGCTATTCAATACATAGAGGAACACGTGCAAATTGATTTACTGATGCAAAAGGAGTTATGCAGAATTCAACCTTGAGTACATTATTGTCAGTGAGCTACTAAAGCCTGCTCCAACGTGTGCCGGTGTTCCAAACCATTCAGGTTAAGCTTATATCTTAAAAACAGCAAAACAGAAAGAGAAAAAACATTTTATTCACAGGACCTTGCTCCAACCTTCACTAGTATCTGATGAAGGCTGCAGGACCACAATATACGGCCTTGGGTTTGGAATAAATGTAAAGATTTTGGACTTGATATTCAGTAGTCTCCTCTTTGTCATATCAGCTATTTATTCTTTTTGCATTGTACATCTCCCTGGTTTTCCCCTTGAGAACAAAACACAGCATTTACTATTTGTTCAAATGTTTACAACGGTGAACGTCTATAGTCTTCTGTAACAAAGTTTTGTAGCAGCAGTGGGAATTATGATTCTTGTCTGTCAGGAACAGGTTAGTGGTATTCTTCCTGCTATAAAACCTTTAAGACAGTGGATAGTCATAGATAATCAAAGTGGATATGTGTCGAGAACAGGGACGCCATTGTGCCCTTGCCTCTGGCTGTTAATTTGATAAATCCATAATTCTTGCAATTAATTTCAGCTGATTTCATTTTACCATCACCAAGTATTTCAGCTTTTAAACATGTGGTTCATCAACCCAAATGTTAAAAAAAGAGAATCCATATAACTTTTTGTTTAATAGTGGCCAGTGTGGCCACACGGAGCATTTACTGGGTAGTGTGCGCAACCGTGACTTACAAAGTCTGCAAACTGGCTCAGTAAATTCAGTCACACTCTGCAGCAAGGAGGGAATACTTTAAAGTGTTTGACTTTTAATTTTTTAAGAGGAAGAAAGTGTCATTTGTTTTCTTGAAGTTTCTCTTTTACTACGTTTTGTCTGATGGACATAGACTCCGGGTCGGGAAAGTGAATCTGGAAAAGGTCTGTTTCTGTGGAGGTAAATCAGAAAAAGAACCGGCTGTTTAATAATGTCAGTCAACATTGTCATATGGAGTTTATGTTCTCAGTCGCTAGTTTTAAGTCTTGACGTTTATTTTGTAACCTGTGGTCTTATTTAAGAGAAAAATAGATAGATAGCTACGATAGCATAGTATTTCCTGCTTTTCTTATTTATTCATGTAGTTTTCGCCCTGACGTCACCAAAGTTCTTTTCTGTAGTCTACAAGAACACATCCTCACATTTCCCCACAAACCGAGAACAGTCTGTAGTTGTGTGTGTACTTTCAGCACCGCTGCATGTGCAAGTGTCAGCACGAGGCTTGCTAGCATGGATAAACATGGAGAATGGAGAATTCTACATTATCGCATTCACTTTGCAAGACAACTGTCCCCAAAAGCCTCATTTTTTTTTTTTCTGAACAGCTTTATATTTGGCAACAGCAGGTGAGAAGCTGTACAGAGGTTTAATAGTGCCGTGCATCACTTTATGGTGTTCAATTACATCTGTGTCTCAGGTGCTTAACTCTCTGTGTTTAGTAAATCCATTGTTGGCAGCTGGATATTCTGCATTAGCGTAATGCACACGCAATTATACATATTGCCACGGAACTGAAATGTGGGCGCTGACAAGGAAATCAACAATGGAATTAGCCTTTTTCTGATACAGATAAATTGACTCAGACACCATGAGCTTGCTTAAATGTAATTACAAAAAATAAACAAAAACGCAACAGGACATTTTCAGCCTTCATTAAAAAAGAAACTCTCACTTTGTGAAATTAAATGCATTCTTATTTAACTTGCAAATAAAAAGAATGGAATAGCTCAAAATGCAGCCTTTCAGGTTAATTTGACGATATAGTTTCTTTCACAGCAACAGCTTGCTGCCATATAGCTTTATTTTATTGAAGTCAAACAGCAATTCAGTTTACACATTAGAGCTCAAATTACATGAACTTTATCAATGACTTAGGTCCAATGTGTTATGACATCTCGGATTTTATTGATGCTGAATGTATTTTAAACCTGATTAAAGCTACCTGGGAACAGCAGAACCAAACACATCAGCAAAATGATGCATTTCAAGCTCATTCAACTTAGTGTTAAGCAAACAGGTAGCAGCATTAAACAGAAATCCAATATTCACTCCTCTTCTAATTTCACCAACTCCTGAGAGGAAGATCAGTGTTGTTAGCCGGCCGGTGCACCACTATACAACCAGTGGGTGATTATGTCTGTGTGGTGCTGGGTCGTCAGGTTTTTGGGGCTTTTTTCCTGCAGACAGTCGATGTTATCCTGTTGTCTTGAGGACACTTTAGGATTAGTGTCCTCCAGCATCACATAAAAACAAATCCTTGGACTGATCCATTTGCAGCAAATGAGATGCTAGGGGTAATAGAATAAAGGGTATTTTTTTGTCGCTGATGAGTTTATTTATTAGCATAAAATCTATCATGTCTTATTTCTCACAGCGGGCTGTTCATTGTCATTTGGGAAGCTCAGTTGTCACGATAGAGCTTCTTCTTCGCTTTACAACTTTGAATAACAAAGTGCCAAAATCTGACGAGCACTGAATGGAAATACCTTTGTGTTTTGATTCCAGGTTATATGCCATCTTCGAGTTCACCTTCTTTTTCAAAAGGAAACTTCTATATTCATGCAGTTCAGGGACATTTGCCATTGCTCAAATGATTTTCATTTTCCACAGTTAAACGAGATATATGGTGTGACTTGACTTCACTGTTTCTTTAAATGCTTTTCCATTTCAGTGAAGGTTATGCTTTTTTTTATACTTTAATCATGAGGCGCTAAAGAGAAGATAAAAAGGAACTAATTCGATTCTGACTTGTATTCTTTTAGTCTGTCGGCATCTGTAGATCCACCGGTGGTGTAGCATTCGTGTCACTGCTATTTTGTGGCTCTTGTATATTTTTGGGTGCAGCATATTGCATGGCACTTAAGGCATCGCTTTAAAGCTACCTGGTTTATGCAAGTGTAATGGCAGCCGACTTTGGTCAGTGCTCTACCTGGAGAAATCCATTTGCATCGGAGGGATGCATGGAAAGCAGTGCCAGGGAGAGATAACGCTGCATTTCTTCAAACGCAGGCAGCCGGTTATTTTTCATCGGGGCGTTCAGGAGTTCAAGGTGTTTTTCAGACAGGAAACAAGTGCAAAAATGTGCTCTGCCAGGTCTGCGCTCACATGGGCTCATTAGCAGAGCACTGGGTGAGGGATTGAATGATCACTTGTTATTGTTTGATTGTAATTAGGATTGTTAAAGTGATTAATTGGCTATAGGATGATTGAGAGGGTGAGTGCTGGCTGGTTCCAGCTGTAAGTGTGCTGCAGCTGGTGCTGCGTTCAAAGGTCAAGATCAAGAGATTTAATGATTTTTGATCCTTAATTTTTCAGTGTCTGAAAATGCATCTTGGGCACAATTTTGCAAATCCATTTTTTGTGTGCACATTTCACTCCGTCACCAGCTGGGAGGAAAAGAAAGGCAGTCAAAGGAACGGCTGGAGTTACAGTAGATGTGCTGGAATACTAAGGAGCTGCAGCAGCCTCCAGCAAACAGATCTGTATGAATAATTAGCTTCCAGCCAGAGAATGGACCATTAACTCTTCTTTGAGGATAAACTGTGAAAAAAAAAACAGATGCTATAACACATCTCATACAAGCAAAGAATATCCCCTGGAGAATACAGTTCAGGAATTAATTAACTTTCTACATCTGCAAACCTTTTTTTAATCAAGCTTCATGCGCCACACCTTGTCACTCATCTGCTCGAGTCATCAGGCTGCACTTCCTCCATTGAACTATTGATGGACAGTTCTCACACCAGTTACATTTTCAAGAAACATTGAATCTTGCAAGAGGGGAGGCAGTGGATTTCACATGAATATTGCAGCCACAGGCGCACAGACAGAATGTAATATAACACAGGTCTCCTTGCCAGCCAAAGGCAAGATATATTGTGTGAGGTGGAGAGAGAGAGAGAGAGACAGAGGGGGCTTTGGTTTTGTGGCATGTTATCTCGTGTTCGCTGCTAGGTGGAGCCCGAGTATTCGGCGTGAGCGGCAATCCACATCCGAGTTTTTCCTCTCACCTTTCCCCGGCTCTCCAAACCCTCGGTCTCCACACAGAATTACTCCCAGCCAGTGCGCACAATTGGTTTGTCATTGTCGCGGGGAGCTCAGCAGCCTTTGGACCCGAACAAGTTGAGATTCCTCTCTCTCCCCCTCCGGCGGAGCTTTTCCTCACAAGATCCCTCTCCTCCTCTTCTTTTTTTTTTTTTTTTTTTTTTTGTAATTCCTCTGGATACTCTTTTTTTTTTCTTCCTGAAGGCTGCTGGCGTTTCGCCCTTTCAGCTGCATGGGACGTGATGTAGCCCCCGCGCAGAAGGACGGACGCCTTGTGCCATAAAGGGATGTAGCGGCGTGGATACAACACGAGGGAACCTGCTGTTTCTCCTCCAGCCACATCACCACGACTCGGATTGTGGACGCACGGCACATTTTGTTGTTGTGTTTTTTGCGAGGATATTGAAAGGAGGAGACAACAGTTTGGGTTTCCCCCCCCCTCTCTCGTCCTGTCCTCCACACACTGTGCGTTAAAGGACGGTTCCCTGAAAAGACAGTTCATACTTTGAATGGAAGGACGCGAGATTTACCCTCCGCTCCACCGGTGATTTCCAAACCCAGGGTAAGTCAAGATGTTCCGAAACAAAAAGCGCATATGTCCCCGCGTTCGTGCGCAAATCCACAGCCACCGGGGCGATGTTAAATCTTATGAACGCACGGTCTCATGTCAGTCCTGGCATGCGCTCCTCTCTCTTAATTACTTTAACCAGGCTATCCATGCGTTCAGGTGTAATCAGCACCGATCAATGATTGATAGCCACTATTAATTATCAATTGCCTCTTCGACTAATCCATGTGTGCCATATCCGAGTTGCATTATCAATAGGCGATGTGAAAAATGGCTTTTCCAGAGAAGTTGCCTATATTGGATGTGAGTTGTAGGATTTTAAAGTCATGCAGGGAATTAGTCCCCCCCCACGTTCAACCTTGACATTTAAATTGAATATGCAGCCCTTGTTTCTCTGTGATAAAGCAGAGTCAGTATCTGAGAGCGTGAAGCGTAATTTGTCTTCGGGAAAAAAAGGTGCTTGAATCATGGATTGTACCAACGCAGGCCCTTTTTCTTGTTCTGGTGCAGTTCTGTCGTGTAAAGTGAACCATGTTGGATGATGCAGTGCTGCATTCTTCATGATGGGGTTGACAATGTGTAAAAGAATGAAGAACCCCAGTTATTGGTGCTGGTGCATGTGCAGTTTTCATGTTTATTTTACTGGATATCCCCTCAGCCAGTCCACTCATTTACATTTTCTTCCAAAGTGCCACTGTTGGCTTTTTGCAGAAAGCCACTGCAAAAAACCCCATAAATACTGCACAGCAAATATCATCATTATTTAATCTACACACAGGGAAAGAGGGGATGGAGAGCTGGTTGTGCTGAGGCCGACGTGCTGTCCTGTGTGTGTGGGAGAAGCGAAGGGTTGAGGGGCCACTGTACTGAATGCTTTGATCCGAGGACAGCACACTGTCTTTCAACATCACAGTCCAAGTGAGGGAAAAAGGGGTAGCTGAGCCCATCGCTTTGAGTGGGATCTGAAGTTTTCTCGTCACAGCACAATAACGCCCCTTCAATCCCAGTCAATCGTTTGAAATCTGTCGAATCTGATCTTGAATGGAACAGTGCATGAGTTTTTTTTTAATTTTAATTTCAGCCAGGCTTTGGCTTCTTGTCTTTCACAAGTGTGACTAACTTCCACGCGGTTGATTTTTTTCACCCACATTTCAGAATATCATCAGCGTTCTCGTTGGTTGTTGTCTTATCTGACAATTAGGCAGTGTTCATTACGTCCAGGACTGCAGTGCCATCTGTCACATAATCTGCATTGGTGCAAGTGCCCTCAAGCAGATGACACAAACACACACACCCCACACACACACACACACTTGGTTTCTTTTACCAGCAGTGGAAACCTTGACTTCCTCCTCCAGGGGAAACTCTAGGGGACATTTGATGCTTTCTGCCTAAACGGTTACGTCAACCTGCACTTTGTTTTCTTGTCTCATCCGTTTTGATTCAGCTAAATGCAGCTCCTCGTGGAATATAATCTGGGTTATATTTATATATAACAGCAGTTGAATTTAGCATCTGGTGTCATACCTGATGGGACGGAGCTGCATTGAAAGTAACTGTTGTCTTGAAGCTCTTGTTTTCCTGCAGTGCGTTAACGGAAGACGGTGATGAACATGTGCCTCTGTTTAACATATTGATAGAATTGGATGTCTTTGGTAAATTGACAGTGTGATCACTGATCTGCATTGTCAGTTATTCACCCTAGAAAACATTTTACTGGATCCATGCTGCTTTAAGAGAGAATTATTATTCTATCATGTCCGTTGCAGTGTCTGATATAGGTTAATTTGATGCCCTCATTAGAAAGCATGTTCTTTCTTTGTTGAGTAATTTGTATTATTCTTCAGAAATAATCCCACTCTTTGTGATGTTCCTCCTTTTTTCACCCACTCGATGTGCTGTGATTTTCACTCCATCTGCATTTTTCATTTAATTTGAGCCTTTTGGGAGGCAGTCGCAAGCTTAGCGAGTCCAGTGTGGTAGGAGGCATGGGCTCTCAAATTTTCCTCATCAGGTTAGTGTATGTGGGACGCAGCTTCATGGTCCAGGTTATGTACAGCATGGCCGTGTGTTAATGAGGTTAATCATTGTTCAGAGTGCAAAAATCATCTGTTTGTCACACACACACATTCCCCGACTGTCTACGTCTTTGAAGGTATTGAACTGGGATGTGATTTATTTCTGTTTTTCATAAACTGCACCTGCCTATATTCCCTTTACCGAGACCTGCTCGTCCAAACAACACAAAACCACATGACAAAAACCTGCATCCAAATGACCCTGGTCTGCAAGGCAGCATCACTTATCATGAATGAATTCCTCTATCTCTGCTTTTTCTTTAGATGTGAATGCTGGAGGTCACATACTGCACACACCTTTTCAGCTTTTAGATTCATAGTTTCTTGCACTCAATGCACAGTTGTCTTTTAGTATCAACAGCTGTTGTGGTTCACTTTTCATGATTTTCCTGCACCCCCTTATGAGCTGTTCGTAATTTTGCGGATAAAAGTCGGACAAATTGTGCAGTAGAGGTGGGAATAACAAAAAACTATGTTATTAAGACTCTATCCCTCTTTTTTGCGCAAACTCAGAAGCCTCTTTTATATATGAAACCTTCAACATTGCAGCCCTTGCAGTATCGTACAGGTCCATTACTTATTCCTTCTCACGGCCTGCATTTCCTGTAATGAAACTCGCAGTTGATTAATCGATGAGTCATTTGATAAAAATTCAATCAGCAACTATATTGAAAACCAACTAATTGATAGTTTTTAATAAGTAACAAATTCGGCCAACAGAAATGCTGATGCACTATGTGCGGCATTGCAGAAGTCATTAATCTAACAATTTGCCTTCACCTTATTTTATGAATTATAACACTACCCGACCTCACACTGCAATATCACTAATGAGAAGAACACCGGTCACAGTCAGAATTTTTTTTCCACATTAGGAAATCAGGGCTTGATTGACAGCACGGGATCTTTGGCAAGTTAGAAAATAAGGAAACTACAGAAGAAGACAAGACAGAATCCTCACACACATTGTCAAAATGAGATGATGCTTTTTAAGAAGCTTTTTCATCGCTGGCTGATTTTTTATTTTTTCCCTCGTGATTTTTTTAATGACTATCCAAAGCAACCCCACAGACAGGTTAGCCTTGGTGGCTAAAACATGTGCTCTAAATACAACTTATCTATTTATAATGTTTACCTCTTTAAACATGGTATTTAAACCTGTGGCATAACAGAGGAGGCAGGCCACCTGCTGTGCTGCATTCACATTTCTGTGGACCAGATCTCACCCCCTGCTCCAGCCAGGCCCTTCGTTTTTCACAGGTCCCAAAGACCAGAGTTATCATGCTGTTAGGAGTGAGACAGGTTGATATGCTGGGGCCCTTTCTCTGGCAGGAATGTCACGGAAGAAGAAAAGCAAAAGCTGAAAATGAAAAAAGAAAGCACATGGCGCAGGAAAGGTCCTCAAGGTCCGTGCCTCTCAACACTTTAGCTGTCCTGTCTCATAAAGACCCTGGACACAGAGGTTTTGACAGAAGCTTTCAAAGCCCCCTGAAAACTGAACCGCAGGAAATGGGCTCACAGTTGAAATGGAGACTGCAGCTGATGGAAAGAACAGTTAGTTTCTGTACAGCTCTGTGAGGACTGACCCAAATGTTAAGGTGCATTTTTAAGTGTAAAATTAGAAGAAACAGTGAAACACACTGAAAAATGCTTTTTTAAAAGAACATATTTGGCTGAGAAAATAGTGAAAGGTTTGGATATACAGTATAAGCTCTGCAGGTTATTTTGTTGAAGTGTTGGCATGAATCATTTTTCTGTGTTCATCACAGCTCTGGATCCCAAATTCTAAAATAGAAAATACAACTGCAGCCTGATGTCTGTGATAAAATATATCATAGTACTGCAGTAATGTCAGAATTTTGAAAAAAAACATGGTGTGAGGCAATCTGCTTCCACGTGTATAGTATTGACAGTGTAATCTCTCATTTGGTGCCCAAACTTGGTTTCCAAAACACACCTATTATTTACCAGCGTGATTTGGAGGGGGGGATTATCAAAGTCATTCCAGGCTCTTTCTCTCTGGCTGGTTTACAAAAGTAGTTCGGATGAGAGAGGCTGTGTGGGGTATTGATGAGCCTCTTTAAATCACTAACGGATTTGCAGGGATTTTACACCACTCCAGTACATCTGTGTTGTGTTGAGGATAGGGTGAGGTCATGAAAATATTTCACTGGCTCTCTCCTTGACCCGCAATCCTAACGATGAGCCGGTGAGATGTTACTTTGGGTGGAAGCAGGAGATAAGATCATGGGTCGACCGTGAAATCAGCTACTGTTGCATTCAGAACAGAGCTAAGCTTCGGCTGCGTTTTTGAATTCCACAAGCACACCACTGTAATTTTTGGTGCATTAAACTTTAATAAAGGCCTGCAAGGCTGGTAAACTGCAAAGCTCAAGTGTGTATGTTACCACGACCGGTGACGGTGTGCTTTTGTAAAAACAATGTTATGTTTTAATCTGCTCTTTTAATTATCTGCAAGGCCCCCCTCCCTCCGCCCCTTAATCTGACACTTAGTTCAGTCATCCCTGGGGGGGTCAAAACACTCAGCAGGCACATTTTAACACTCGACAACTTCTGCAGGCAGCTGTTAGAGAAGAGACGTGAGTGCAGAGCATTAACAAGCTTGTGCAGATGCGGATATGGAATCATTTTGTGAATGGAGAGGCCATTTTTGTCTTGAAGTACGCTCTAATAGCAATTTTTCATGGAGATAAGGGCCACTACAGTTTGTCTGACCGGTAAACAGCAACCGGATGAGTTTGTCTGATGTTTTCAGAAATTGTATGTTCTCCAAAGAAGCAGATGGTTGTATAATATTGTTAACCCTAACTCCACTAAAAGAGAACGATAGCCAAAGGAAAATAAATACCGCAGAGTGAAAGAGATACTCTCTCTGCTGGAGATATGGACCCAAAA